AGCATATACTGTTTTTGCATAATTTCTTTAGTATAAATGTCTGGGAGATATCTTCTTATGGTATACATTGAGCTGGCCTTTCAGCAGAGCATTGCTATCATATAATTTATTACTTTCTTTTAATTTTGACAGTGTAATTCTAGTAGCATGGGAAGTGGTTATTCTTTGTGAAAGCTACATGATGTAATTGCTATTAGAGACTTTTACATGAATTGGTTGTGTGTTTACCTTTGAAAACATGTGTTTTTTTTTTAATTTCCTAATCTAATAAAAAGTGACAGGGAACATAATTAAAGCAAAGCAAAGGATCTGACAACCCATTATCTTGAAATATTCTGAGACATTGTTTATTAAAGAAAACTTTCTGTACTTGCTGAATAGCTTATGAGAAAGAAAGAGAGGGATAGCCTTAAAGATGGGAAGCTCTGGATATAGTCCTATTTCTTCCAAGCTTTAGTTGTGTGATGTTGGACAAGTCCTTAACCTCCCCAAGTCTTGGGCAACTCTTAATACACACCTAGGGTGGGAGCTTCCACACTAGGAGTTACCCACACTGATAAAAGCACAGGAGGAGGAGGAAGACCTGATGTCTAGAGATTTCAAGCTGCTTTATGTGTTTGAATTATTTCCATTTATATTAAAAATTAAAAACTAAGAGAAAAAGATTTCAGTATCAGTACTATACTTAGATATTCATATAATTCTACAGTGGGCTCAATACATGCACATATCCACATACACACATGAACGTGCATTGTTACTGTGTCCAATTTTTCACGACCCCGTTTAGGGTTTTCTTGGCAAAGCTACTGTAGTGATTTGCCATTTCTTTCACCAGCTCATTTTACAGATGAAGAAACTGAGGCAAACAGCATTAAATGATGCCCAGGGTCACAAAGCCACTGAGTGTCTGAGGCCAGATTTGAACTCAGGAAGCTATCTTCCTGACTCCAGGCCCATGTTTCTATCTACTGCACTACCTAGCTACTCTGCATACACATATACAAAAATATATACATACACACACACACACACACACACACACACATATACACACCCATATGCACAAATATACATGCATATAGGCATACACACATATGCATGTACATACATACTCGCAATACACATATATTCTTATTCAGTCATTTAGTCATATCTTATTCTTCATGACCTTGTGGATCATACTGTCCATAAGGTTTTCTTGGGAAAGATACTGAAGTGGTTCTCCATTTTCTTCTCCAGTGAATTAAGGCAAACAGAGGTTAAATGACTTGCCTAGGGTCACACAACTATTAGGTGTCTGAGACCAGATTGGAACTCAGGCCCTGCACTCTATCCACTGAGCCATCTAGCTGCCTCACACACATATATACACACTTATACGTGCATATGCATATACACCTAACAGATACGTACACACATATGAATAAGAGCACATGTGCACACATATACGCAAACATAGGACACCAATACATATGTGCATATATATACCCAGATTCACACAAACATACACATGCACATATACACACCTATTCCTATACCACCATGCTCTACCTTTCCATCCCTGCTGAAATTCTGCGTACTAGAGATGTTTAAAAATGTTTTCATTTGAAAACTCAAAATCATTCCCCACCTGTACAGAAGGTATCATGGTACAAAAAGAATGATAAATTTGGAATCAGAGAACCTGTCAGATTCTACTTCTGACATTCACTATGTATGTGACCTTGGGCAAGTCATTGCTTACTCCCTGGGCTTAGGTTTCCTTATTTGTAAAACAAACAAACAATCAAATAAATAAATAAATAAATAGATGAATAGATAAATAAATAAATAAATGAAATTGAAAGGGCACTGGACTAGATGACCTCTATGGTCTCTTCAAACCCTAGAGTTAGGACCCTACACCCTGGGTTCAAATCCCTGTTGATATCCCTATATTTGCTTTTTCACCTTTAGCAAATCACTTTCTCTTTGGGCCTCAGTTTCCTTATCTATAAATTGGATGACATCTCTGAAACTGTGGACTTGGAGAACTATCATATACCTGAGCATTTGGCCCACAATTAGGCCCCAACCAGCTAGACCCTTGCTCCAGCCCTGTCAAGATAAAAAACAATCTATGAATGGAGACCATTCAGATTCATGGAGCTTAGTTTCCATCATGCTTTCAATATTTATTTGTTCATTTATCTCATATTTATGCCCTGACCTACTTCTGAAAGTAATGACATGATTTTATTATTTTAAAAAATTATAACTAAAGCAAGTAATAAAGTTCTAATTATATCAATGCATACTATAATGTGTATGGATATACTATATAGTTTCTAGGTGGTGCTGTGAATAGAGGGCTGGGCCTGGAGTCAGGAAGACCTGATCCAGTCTCAGATACTTCCTAGTTATATGATCCTGGACAAATTGCTTAACCTATCTCTTCCTCAGTTTCCTCAACTATAAAATGGAGATAATAATAGCAACTACCTTGTAGGATTTTTATAAGGATAAAATGAGATAATATTTGTAAAGTCCTTAGTGCCGAGCACATAGTTAGTGCTTAATAAATATTTGTTTGCTTTCCCCAGTGTAACTCTGAAATGAGGTTGTGATTCCTTAAAAGGAAAATGCTTTCTAAAAGCCAATCATTTTTGCTGCTTTTCTCAGAAGGTAACACCCAAGTCCAGGGCTTGGATTTACTTGTAAATGTATATAGCCAAACATTTATAAAGCTACCATTAGATCTGCTTATAGGCCTTACTCCATACTTGTATAAGCTTATAAAGCACTAACAAAGAACAGGGAAATGCTTTCACATACACAAAGCAACATCAATAATGTGCCATCTTTAAATGCAGAGAGAGAAGTAGACAGACAAAGAAGGAGAGAGGGAGGAAAAGTGAGAGAGAGACAGAGAGAGAAAGAGAGACAGAGACAGAGAGAAACAGAGAGAGAGAGAGAGAGAGAGAGAGAGAGAGAGAGAGAGAGAGAGAGAAAGAGAGAGAGAAAGAGAGAACTGGCGTAGTCAATTCAAGTACTAGCATAGTCAATAGGCAGTCATTACAATCCACTTCTTTTCAATCAATCAATAACTCAGTAAGAACTTATGTTCCAATTTTGTGTCAAGCACCATTGCTATGCTCTGGATCCCTCCCTCTCTCCGCATAAAAGTCTTTGCCCTTAAGGAGCTTGCATTCTATTAGGGTAAACAACAAGCATACATTAATAAGTACTTTTTTCAAAATTAAAATATTTTATAATTTTGTGACCCTGGGCAAGTCACTTAAGGTTCTTAGTGTCCTAGGCAACTCCCTAAGACTTTAAGTTACAGAACAATCACAGATTTCAATCGATAAAATTCAATTGATTCAAATTCTTCAGCAGGAGTTTCACCAATGAAATCACAGGTCTGAACCAATGATAGATAGACAGACAGATAGATAGATAGATAGATAGATAGATAGATAGATAGATAGATAGATAGATAGATAGATAGATAAAAAGACTTCCAGCTTTTTTAAAAGAAGAGATGATTCCCATTAGCTACTGGTTGCTCAGATACTTTGTGGGTTATCTGCAGGTAGCTTCCAGTCCTACTGTTAGCTTCACTCCCAACCAATGGATTCCTAAGATGCCTCTTTCCAATGTTCAGCTAGAGTGTACTCAGAAAATGCAAACGTATTTTAGTGTTAATCTGAATAAAGCATATGTAGAAAGGCAAGTTTGTGGGGAAAAATATCTTTTTAAAATAGTTTAATAGCCTTATATCCATAAATACAAGTAGGATAGAAAAGTGTGAAGAGTGTGGGGTGTGGAGTCAATAGACTTGGTTTCTAATCCTATCTCTGATACTTACTAACTATATGAATGTGGACAAGTCATTAGCTTTTTTGTGTTCCATGCAAACTCTTTGAGACTTATCTGTTCAGTTGTTTTGACACCTTGAAGGGAAGGGAAGGGAAGGGAAGGGAAGGGAAGGGAAGGGAAGGGAAGGAAGGGAAGGGAAGGGAAGGGAAGGAAGGGAAGGGAAGGGAAGGGAAGGGAAGGGAAGGGAAGGGAAGGGAAGGGAAGGGAAGGGAAGGGAAGGGAAGGGAAGGGAAGGGAAGGGAAGGGAAGGGAAGGAAATGAGCCTTTATATAGTGCCTGCTATGTGCTAGGCACTATGCTAAGTGCTTTACAAATATTATCTCATTTGATCTTCACAACAATGTTAGGAGACAGATACTGTTTTCATACTCATGTTGCAGTTGAGGAAACTGAGACAAGCATGGGTTAAGTGACTTGTTCAGTGTCATGCAGCTAGTAAATACCTGGGGCAGGTTTTGAACTCTAGTCTTCTTAGCTTCAGGTCCAGTGCTCTGTCTACTGTGCCTCCCAGCTGCCTCTAGTTACATGCTTATCTGCATGTAACTTTGGAATACTGCTACTCAAGGACTTTACCCTTTCACCCTAATTCTCAGTCACCTGCCTCCGGGGGGTCTTAAGATTTCATGAAAATGAATAAATAGTACTTTAAAAAAAAGCAATGGACCCATAAGTATGTTATATATTTATTACCAATTTTCAAATTATTGGACTGTACTAGAATATACTTCAGTCACTAAAACTGTTGAAAATAATTGCTCTTAGATTTCAGTATCATTCACTTTACCTGGAAGCTGGGTGAGATTACTTTTTTTTCCTTATGCACTATTTGTATACAACACGTATAATAATATTATTGGCATCAGTTTATCACTGATTCTTCTTTGTATCTTTCTCAGTACCTAATATAGTGCCTTGCGCGTAGTAGGCAGTTAATAAATGTTTATTGAATTAATGAATAAATTTTAAATGGGGAATCATTTGAGCCACTGCTCTCCTCTATTGGCACAGATAATCCAGAATTAGTTGTATGTGATCAGAAATGTGGTTTCTTTCTTTCCATAGGATTACACTTTTTTTACACTTGATAGCAAATATTGTTTAAAAAATAACTTCAATATTCTTTCCTCCATACGCAGGAGTCCCAGTCCCTAATCTCGAATGGTATAAGGACTCTGTTCCCATCAGCAAGCTCCAGAATTCTCGTTATAAATTGCTAGTGAGTGGAGGTCTACGAATCCAGAAGCTGCATCCCAATGACTCTGGTATCTTTCAGTGCTTTGCAAGAAATGAAGGTGGGGAAATAGAGACACACACCTACCTGGATGTAACTAGTAAGTATGGAATGTCAGGAACACCAAATAGTAGTGATGCACCCTTTTAGACTCATGTCAGTTTAGTATGTGACAGCTAAACATCCATATACTCATTATAGCTTTGGAGGAGATGGAAAAGATACACTTGTTACATAAATTTAGATTGACATTATCTACTCTGCAGCTTTCCAGCACTGACCACACTCTATTTATATGAATAGGTTTTTAAAAGGAAAGGGGAAAAAAACCCCTCAAAACCTCAATGTCTTGCTAGAAAGAAATGAAAGATTAATAATGAATAAATAGCTGTCTTATTCTTTGTCTCTTGATCTTCTTTCCCTCTTTTATATCCATCTCCTAGTTTAGTTTTATTGAACAATTATAGTTCTTTTGTGAATTTCTTTTACGATCATATTAACTGAAATGCCTTGGTACATTTTCTTTGAAAAAAAAATAGAAGCATAAGGGTTTATCTTTAGTTCTCCTAATATTAAAATTTCTCTTCTAAAATGAGGTGGAACTTGGTAATTATTGCATGATACCTTTTGCTCTTGCCCCATGAAACAAAATGCTTGGCTGATTACGTCCTCAGACAGAATTCTTTTTTTTCTTCAGTCATTTCAGGCATGTCTGACTCTTCATGACCCCATTTGGGGTTTTCTTGGCAAAGATAGTGGAGTGGTTTGGCATTTCCTTCTCCAGCTCATTTTATAGATGAGGAAAATGAGCCAAAGAGTGTTGTGACTTGCCTAGGGTCACACAGCTAGTAAGTGTCTGAAGTCAAATTTGAACTCAGGTCCTCCTGACTCCAGGCCTGGCACTTTATCCACTGTGCCATCCAACTGCAAGGAAAGTTAAAAAATACTTAAAGCTGTGAGTTTCAGGGCTATGTCTTTCAGACAAAGCAGAATAAGTATTACCTCCCATTAAATTGTGATTTTCTTGAAGGCAGGGACTGTCTTTTGCCTCTTTTTTATATCTCCAGTGCTTAGCACAGTGCCTGGCACATAGTAGGCACTTTATAAAGTTTTATTGACCAACTGATTATGGTAGATTTTGGCAAGCTAAAGGTCGCCAAGATGACCAGAGGTCAGTTTTTTAAACTGCCGTTTGAAAGAGGAGATACTGATATAAGTATACCTAGATTTAAGCTGTAGATAGATTCTTAGAAACTTGGGTTACAGACTGAATCTTGGCAAGTGAACTCATTTAAATTGAGGTTTATGAGACTTATAACCTGTATGACCTTGGACAAAGCACTTAACTTTCCTGAGCCTCAGTTTCTTAATCTGTAAAATAAAGGCATTAAACTGGATGACCTCTGAGGTCCCTTCTACCTCTAGGCCTATGAACCTATGAACTGCCTTAAATCCTTTTATAAGATAGTAATCTGTCATAAGCAAATAGTGACTTCCTAATTTACTTTTTTCCCTAAATTCAGATGTTTTGCACGTTGAATTTTCTTAAAGCAAGGCATACCAATTGTGAAGAAAAATATATTCAGCACAAAGAAATGCTATATCTGATAGCTGACATTTCTATCTTCCTCATAATAGCTCACATTTACATAGAACTCTACAATTTACAAAATGTTTTCCACACCACTTATGGAGTAGGTAATGATCACATTATCCTTTTATAAATGAAGAAAATGAGGTTTCAGGAGCTTAAAAGACAAGCCCTGGGAGACCTTTCTTCTTCCTCCTCCTTTTCCTCCACTTAGACTCCTCTTTCCATTGCATCATGCTGCTTCACAGGCTACCTTACGGCAATAAAAGTAAAGTGGAATTTGAAGGAGGAAATAAAAACTTCTCAGGAAAAGTCTTAAAATAAGTATAACATTTCTTCCGTTTATCCAACATGGCTTGAGAATGGAATGGTACAATTTCTGTAATATTTTCTTTAACCGAGAGTTACTGTCCATACCACATTTCCTTTGCCTCCCATATAATGTCTATAACAAACTAAGATTTACCTGTAGATCTTGGACCTTGCCATTACCATCTCTTCAGCTATTTTCTGCCCATGCACTCAATGACACTGCCCCAATCCTACCCTTGGCTTCCATTCCTACTGGGAAAGGAAGCGAGAGTGAGTAGCAACAACCTCATAGTTTACTTCCACTCAAGTATTTGATTTAGTGGAGAGAAGACTCAACCTAGAGGCAGGAAGACTCCTAGGTTCAAATCCAGACACTTGTGACTCCAGACAAAAGTCCCTTAACCTCTCTGGATCTCAGTTCCTCTTTTGTAAAAGGAAGGGATTAAACTAGATGGGATCTAAGATCCCATCCAACTCGAAAGCTATGATCCTATGATCCTACTGTAAATTCCATTCTTCCTTAACTCCTCCTTCAATATTACTCTTTTCCCACCAACCCCTGGACTCCAGTGATCTCAAGATACATGAATAAAAATAGTACTTCACCGCCCCCCAAAAAAGAAAACTTGTAGATTTTTTCTAAGATATCTAAATGGTCAATTTTCAAATCACTATACTATTAAAAAAATAGCCATAACATTCACTAAGACTTTGTCGAATATAACCATCCTTAGATGATACAAAAAGTATAGAAGTTCCCGCAGTGCTTCGGGATCTTTACCATGAACACAGATCCTTATTGCCTCTCATTTAGACAACTGCGATAGCCTCCTAATCGGTCTTTCTGCCTCCAGTCTCTCTTATCTTTAATCCGTTTTCCACGCAGCTGCTAAATTGATATTCCTAAAGCACGGGTCCAATCACGTCATTCTTTACCTCCAGAGGCTCCAGTACCTACCAGATTTTATTGTTCAGTCATGCCCAACTCCTCATGATGCCATTTGGAGTTTTCTTGGCAAAGATACAGGAGTAGTTTGCCATTTCCTCCTCCAGCTTATTTTACAGAGGAGGAAACTGAGGCAAACAGAGTTGAGTGACTTGCCCAGGGTCACACAGCTAGTAAGCATCTGAGGCCAGATTTGAACTTAGGAAGATGAGTCCTCTTGACTCCAGTCTCAGTGCTCTATCCACCTAGCTGTCCAGATGCCTCTAAAATAAACACAAATTCCTCTGTCTTGCATTTAAATCCCTCCACTCTAGTCTAGAAGCTTGTCAACATTTCCAAGTTTATTCTACATTACTGTCCTTCACACACTCCACATTCCAATGGAACTGGCCTGCCTACAGTGAGGAAAAATGCTCTTAATACTAAGGAATTTATTTTATATCCAGTATATCACAATTATATCTGACATTTCACCTCCCATCTCCATTCATTTGCATAGATTGTCTTAGTTGACTGGAATGTATTCCCTTCTCCACTTTGTACAATTCCTAACTTCCTTCAAAGTTCATCTCATATAAGAGGCCTTTCCTGATCCCCCCAGTTGCTACTGTCTTCCCCAATCCAAAATTACTTTCTTTATAGTTTATATTTATTTATCTCCAATGGGAAGAATACTGGGTCTGGAGCCAGAAGATCTGTTTTCAAATCCTGCCTCTGATGCTTACTACATGTGTGACTTTGAGCGAGTCCCTTTGCCTCGAAGGTGTTCAGTTTTCTCATCTATGAAATGATGGAGTTGAACCGGCTGGCCTCAGAGGACCCTTCTAGTTCTAGATCTATCGATGACTGTAATTCTGTGTTGTTCCTTTCCAAGAGAATATGAGCTTCTCGAGGGCATTATCTTTATATTCCCAGAGTGTAGCACAGTGCCTGGCAGACAACAGGCATGTAATAAATGCTTGGTGAGAAAATGAATGTAGTTATGATGTGTTTAGGGAAAGGCAAAGCCTCTGGATGATGAGGTCCCCAGGAGCTCTCATGAGTGGGTGATATGGCCTCTTTAACAAAACATATAACCACACAGAAGATATCAGGTTAAAATCCATCCAGTAAATAGAATGCCTGTCACTGAGATTGTAGCATGCAACTGGTTGGGCAGCCAGTAATTTAGTTTATCAGCACATTTGTCATTGGTAAGCAGTGCAAATAGAGAATAAGCTAATCTCAGAATTGAATAGGAGGAAAGTTGACTGGATGGTATTTGGGAAACTGCAGTATTTCCAACAATCCCAGCTATCTAATACAAAACCCATATCTTCTATGCCAGCATTTTTTATAATGTTTTATGGCTTTAAATCATGGAATACCACAGTCCCTGAAGAATCAGGCTTACAAATGATCAAAAAGGCAATGAAGAGAAATCCACGGTGGTTGTAAATAGCTGCTGCAGCTTCCCAAGGTTGGCTTCTGTGTAAGAAGTAAAAATATTAGAGCATAATGCTATGAGTAGAGAAGGTATGGGAGTTCGACTGAATTTGTAATAGACCTGTGACATCTTTCAAAAAGTTACTTTTTGTTTAAATCTCCTTCTTCAAGTCATTTGTCATATTTCTGTTTCTTAAAAAACTATGCTTCGTACTTCAATGGGTCTTTGATCTCCTTGTTGTGGGTATACCTTCCAATGGTATAGATTACAATGCATCTATACCTTTTTATCTTGTGCTATTCCTGTCCATGTTCTCCTATACATCTTCCATAAAGCAGAAGGTCTTTCAACATTCCATGGATACCAGCGTCAGACTTGGTATTGCTGTGTGAGCAGCCCCCTCCTTGCCTGATCATCCATTTCCTGGTTGATGATGTTTGTACCACACTTCTGCATGAATTACCTTTGTTAATATTGGACTGCAGCCTACTTGCATTGACCTACCTCCACTAGGTCTTTGGGTCACCTGCAGTTTTGAGTCTTTGGAGCTTGTGGGAGTCCATGACTCTTAGTAGCATAGCATCACTGGAATGTGAAGAGGGTGGGAAGGAAAGCTTATATTAGGCAAAAAATTACCTTCTGATAACTCCTACCCATACTTCCTACTTCTGTCCCCTGAGACTAAGAAAAACAACTCTGGCCTCTTCCATATCACAACCCTCCACGTGTGTGAAATAATAGGAACAATTAAAAATAATTGCTAGCATTTCTATAGTGCTTTAAGCTTGCAAAGGGGTTCACCTATATGGTCTAATTTCATCTTCACAACAACCCTATGAGGTAGCAGCTATTATTTTCTTCATTTTATAGATGAGAAAAATGAAGATGAGAAAGATTAAATGAGTTGCCTAGGGTCCAACACTGAGTAAAGTAAGATTTGAACTCAGGTCTTATTGACCAAGTCCAGCTTTCTATCCACTGGACCAGCTAGCTATTATTATAAGAATATCTGAAAAGGATTCTATATAAATGACAGGTTTATATAGAGGAAAGAGCTGATTTATGAATCAGGAGTCTTAGGGTCTAATCTCTGTTCTTCTATTAAGCTTGCCAAGTGATCTTGAGTCAAGCCTCTTTAGACCTTAGTTTCTCCATCTATAAAATCAAGAGTAGATGATGGTCTCTCCTACCTCTGATATTTTATGAATCTCATTTGCTCAAGGGTCACATTTACTTTTAAAAGTAAACTTTTAAGTCTCTTTAGCTTTTTAAGAAGATGAAAGCAACTTGTTCAATTTATCTAAATAAAAATTTTCCTTTTTCTCTTTTACATTTATTTTAAATTATTCTTATATATCCTGTGATGTCTCATTTACATATCTATGAGTACCATGAGGTTTTATTTTCACTTAAGCAATAAATAAAGTCAAGCAGTTCCTTGGAGATTATCCTAGGATAATCAAAGGTTACAGTTGCTTCTGCAAAGTTTTCTTTTCTTTTTTTTTTAATGCTTGTACCTATTTCTTGGATTCATTCTATAAAAATTGATGTGAAATACTCCAAGTTGGTAGCTTGAATATCTCTAAAGGAGGTTCCCTGATTTCACTTTCGTTTTCAGATATCGCCCCAACTTTTACTCAGCGTCCAGTGGATACCACTGTTACAGATGGAATGACAGCAGTGCTCACCTGTGAAGTTTCAGGAGCTCCAAAACCTGCTATCACATGGAGAAGAGGTATGTGTTTGTATTTGTGCTGTGGTTTGAGACTAGACCCTATCGAGATATAACCATTCCACGTAAATATGGTCATCCTAGATTGTAAACCTCTTAGGAAACGGGCTGTCCTCTTCACTGACCCTCTTTCTGCTTTATCTAAACACCTCATAGCTTGGATAAGGAGGCTTTTAATGAACTGTTAATGGATGTTGATCTTGGGCAATCTACTCTTACCTTGGAGTTCTTTTTAACCATTTTTGGGGGGTGGAAGTGTGGATGAGGGTACTGGTGGTGTGGGAATGGGTCTGGCTGTGATTTCATCAGTATAGAGAAACCAAGTGGTGGAAACTTGCTCTTCTAATAACACATCAGACACTCCTCTCTAACTTAGAGTCATAGAGGGCCTGGGAAACTGACATGTTAAGTGACTTGCCCAGGATCACAGAACTCACATGTGAAATGGATAGGATTTTAACCCAGGCCTTCCTGATTTGGAAGCCCATTTTCTACCTGCTGAGCCATGCTGTATCTTCATAAAAGAAAGAAAAAGGAAAAGAAAACTAGGTACTTCATATAAGACCCCTACCAGCAACAATGTTCTATGATTCTATGAAGTCAGGGGAATTCTTTTTTCTTCTTACACTTTTAAATTTTAGTTATATGTATGTGTATGTTTATAGATACAAATAGAGAAAGGAAAAATATACATAATACATAGACATATATACAAAAGTGGAGAAAAAGAGGGAGATATATTTATTAATTTGTTTAGTCACATCTATTTACTAATTCTTTCGTTTTTTAAATTTATTGGTGGGGAAAGGAGGAGAAGGAGAGAAAGAAAGAGGGAGAGGCACTGTGCGATAGCGGATAGGGGGCTGACCTTGGAGTCAGAAAGACCTGGATTCAGGTCATACAACCCTGTAATGTCTGCAGAAGTCTCTTAACCTCCCAGTCCCCCAAACAATTCTCTAAGACTGTAAGTTACAGAGAAGTTGCAAATCTGTATCAATAGAGTTTATGAAAGCAGGGTTCCCTATCATAATGAAATCACAGACACAGATGTCCCACCATAAATATTTCTTTCCCATGTGAGTATATGTGGGTAAAAGAGAGACAGATGGTGAATACATCTCTACTGTAAGATTATGTTGATCCTTATTAGTGTCAGTTTTGTTAAATCTGGTCTTCAGTGTAAACATTGTTGTGATAAAGTAAGGCCTACATTATGCACTTATCAACTAATATAATTTTGAATGTAAAACTGTTTGTTGATCACATCTTATGTACTCAATGAATTACTTGTACTTGGTCGATAAATCTTTTTTGATTGATTCATTGATTTGCTTACTATAGAAAGTGCTCAGTAAATACTTGTTAAATTGAATGAATGAATATGGATTAACTAATAATGTCTGTATGAGCATAACTTAGACGCTTATGGCAGATGCATTAATTCTTTCAAACTCCACTTTCAGAGGGACAACCATTTGGAAACTGTAGCTCAGTGGCTAGTATTATGGAAAGTGGAGACAGGGTTTAATCTTGATAAGCCTTAATGAGACTTACAGGGAACCTAGGATTCCTGACTTTTTAATTTGTATATTGTAAAGGGAAGACAGACATTCTTTTGGTTCTTTACTGACTAATATTTGTTGAGTCATTCAATGTTTACTGAGCACCCAATGTAACTACTGCATTTAGGAAGAGCATTTGAGGTCATCTATTAATTTCTTAAATTGAGTTTTTAGTGGCTGGAAAGAGTTACTAAAGCTTCTAAAAGTGTGTCTAACTTACTTTTTAAAATGGGAGATACTGACTTAGTTAACTTAAATATACCCTGGAGCAGACTAGCAAGCATTCACCAAATCTAGATATCTTTTCAGCTTGAAAAGATCTCTTTCAGAGACATGATGGCTCTATGAATTTTGTTACAATAAATGTTACTATATTTTAGAAGTGTAGTAGCTGACTTATTCTCATTTCTTTTCTCTGTCATTTTTCAGGGAAGCAGATTTTGGCCAGTGGCTCTGTTCAGATTCCTAGATTTATCCTTCTTGAGTCTGGAGGCCTGCAGATAACCCCAGTCTTTCTCCAGGATGCTGGCAACTACACCTGCTATGCAGTCAACTCTGAAGGATCTCTAAATGCGTTTGCCATGCTGACTGTGTGGAGTATGGATAGCACTTTATGTGAAATCTTCCATTAATCACAGCTTAATCAGGGTGTCATTTTTACTTAGGAAATATTATTGTGCCCTTGGCCTTTCTCATTTGATCAAAAGAAAATAGTTATTTTTACAACTAATTGACTAAAATATATTGAGTAATTACTTTAATTTTTCAGGTTCTGAAAAATACAATACACACACACACACATACACATACACACACACACACACACAAATTTAATGAAACAACTATGGAGAAGGAATATTATTCATACTGTCACACCAAGACACAAAATTGACATGTTGGTTAATCTTAGAGCAGTAGTCACCAAAGAAAACTAAATTAAGAATTAAAATACTTGAAAAAATTCTTCATTATGTGACTAATTATCAAGTAAGATACTTTTGGAATATAGCAAAATAATGAAGCTGTTATTATTTCTTGATTCTAAGCCAAAAAAACCAGCTCCCTGTAATTATTATAAGAGCACTCATCTCCAGCTCTTGCCTGTCCTTGTTGTCTCTTCTGAAACTCAAAATAATTTTAATTCTACAAGAGGAAGGGTGTATAACCCAAAACTCTTCCATTCTGTAGACTAGGTATTTTGTACATAGTATCTATACTTTATTCTGGCCTATAGTCCAAGCACATATACTCTAGAAATTCCTTTTTTAATAGGAAACAGAAGACAAATCACCTCACAATATTATTTATAGAAATAGCTATACTGTTTAATTTGCATGAACAGAATACTGGATTCAAGTCAGAGAACCTGGATCCCACATCTGTCTAAGGCATATTACCTGGCTTACCTTAGGCAAATTACTTAACCTCTTGTAGCCTCAGCTTTCTCATCTGTAAAATAAGGAGGTTGTACTACATGATCACTGAGGTCCCTTTCAGCTCCTTACATGATTCTATAAATATTTTTTAAACTCTAATCCATTTCTTTAAAAAGCTGAATTGTGGTTTATTTCACACTGGTTTAACTTACTTTGTGACTTATTTAAGGGGTCACTTTAAAAAAAATAGTCCATTACATTTTGTATGAAGCTTGTTTGACTGCTACTCTCCTTTTCCATTTTAAAAATAATGTGTAAGTATACGGTAAAATAAACTCTCTCAAAATCAAATTCTAACTTACTCCCTGGGACCTCCCTACTGCTTAATTGGCCTATTCTTCATACTAATAGAGCCAGTCTTCCTTCTCTTTGATAGCTGTTCCACATATTCTTCTCTAACCCACATTCTATTTCTTATGAAAGTTAAGTTGTGGAGGCAGTATGACACATTGGCTAAAGAGTTGACTTGGGTTCAAACCCCGCCTCTTCCTCTGACAATTATTGTCTGCGGTATCCTGAGCAAGTCACTTAACCCCTTAACAACAACAACAAAAAGTTAAAGCTGAGACCATGAAGTTGGAATTCTCATAAACAATTGATCAGGAGATTTACTGGAACTATTCATCTTTCTTTGTGAAATTTAGCCTTGCGCTCATCTCAAAAATTTGTGTTGTATTTCCAAATATACTTTACATGATGAGCAAATAGGTGTTATGGGTGTCCTCCTATAGAAAATACATTACAAAATGACAAGAACTTAAAAGATCATTGGATCATGCATTTAGAGCCAGAAGGGACCCCAGAGGACCTCTAATCCAATTGCCTCATTTACAGAAGATAAAGAAACTGATGCTTAAAGGGGTCAAATAGGTTGCTGGTGACCATACATCTCATACATCTTATAATGTCATAGATAGGATTGAACCCAATTCTTCCTGATACCAAGGCCAGAACTCTGTCCGCTATAACGTGTAGGTTTGTACTTGACAGTGTAACTATGCAAATATATTTGCATAGGATCTTTAATACATATATGCTAATGTATAAAAGACCAAGATTAATTTGCCCTGACCTATCCCTTTTTGACCTGTGCATGCAACTTACTTTAATGTTGTGGTATTGGTAGCACTCTCAGGTCTACCTCTTAGTTCTAAAATTCATTAGCTCTATAATTTAATTGTATGACCTGCTTTCATTTCTGGGGAACAGTCTAAGATCTTCCATTTACCTTTTTTTTTTGTTTGTTTTTTGCCTACATAAGACAGAACTTAAAACTCTCAATGCCAGATAACCAGCTCATTACCCTCAGAGGTGGAAACTCTCTTTTGATTTCATCTGAGTTGTGACTTGTGTTTCTTTTAGATCGTACTTTTATTGTCTACCCTCCTGAGGACCGAATTGTTATTAAGGGAACTACAGCCACTCTGCACTGTGGAGCAATTCACGACCCTAGGATTCCTATCAGGTTAGTATAGTCAGCTGTTCTTGGTGTTTGTTTGTTTTTGTGTTTCCGGTTTTTTGTCTGCATGTTGTTTTTTAAATATTCTGTGGGCATGTAAAATGAAGTCATTAGATGAAGAGGAATTCCAGGAACCTCGATCATGGTTATAGACCCCTGATTGCTGTATCTTAAGGTTGTAGGCTGTATCATTCATCACCCAAATCCCATTTTCTCCTTCAGCCTTATGTATTATTTACAGTGAGCTATGTTCCACTTCATGACTCCAATACAGCTTTTCATGATTTTGCTGCCAAGGTTAATACACTATCTGTAAAACGGACTTGTCAGAGGCTGATAGTTAATGAGAGAAAAATCCAGAGGGATCGAATAGGATTTCAGAAATGTTTACTCTGGGACTATGGAATGCCCAGGAAGAGTCTCCTTTCACTCCTAGGAATATTTCATAGCAAAATGAGGGGAGGAAAGGTCTAGAAAGTTGGAAGAAAGGAAATCACAGTTCTCTGATGAATTTACAACAAAAGGCATTTAAAAACTCAACTAGATGACTTGAAGCTTGAATCAAGACATAGGGAGTTTTTCATCTTTCTTTGAATTCACGCTGGGATTGTGGTGACTGAAAATTTGATGATCTTGGTGAAAAAAGTCCAATGATTAAAACCCATAGAAAGCTTTTCTCCACTGTAAGCAACTACTTTCATAATTTTGAAAAGTAAAAACAGAACTTTATAATGGTTTTATCTTGTTGGGGCAACCTTGCAAATAATTTCTAAAAATTATTAGGAAGCCTTTTTCAATCTGTCCTTACTTCAGAAAGCATCTGATAATTGCTGGCATGTCTATAGCACTTTGTGGCTCCCCAAACACTTTACATACACTATCCTATTACATTTTCATAACAACACTACAAGATATGTTTTGGCCCCCATTTTACAGATGAAGAAATTAAAGCTGTCAAAGATGATTTTTCTAGGGTCATGGAGTTAGTAAATATTCAAAGCAGGATTCAAACCTAGGTCTTCCTGACCTGTCCTACACCTCATCCATTAGTCTATGTTGCTTTCTAGAAAGACTGAATGCCCATTAACTGGGGAATGACTGAGCAAATTATGGCATATGAATGTGATCTGAAAAACCTGGGAAGACATATGAACTGATACAAAGTGAAGTGAGAAGAACCAGGCGGACAATTTACACAGTAACAACATTACAAAGATAGTCAACTGTGAAGAACTTAGTAACTCTGATAGATAAAATGATCCAACACAATTCCAAAGGAATCATAATGAAAAATGTTATCTACCTCCAGATAAAGAACTGATGGACACAGAGTGAAGCATATTTTTTTCTTTTTCTTATTTCCTTTTTATTTTTTCAGAATATGGCCAATACAAAAATGTTTTGTATTACTTCATTTGCATAATGGTTATTATATTTCTTGACTTCTCAATGGGTGGTGGAGAAGACAGATAGAAAACAACTGAAATAAAATAAAATTGAATTTAAAAAAAAAAGAATGAAAGACTGAGTGAAATCGTATCTGTACCAATAGTGCATTAATGTAGTGAAGAGGCAGTTTTAAAGTAAGAAATCTAAGCTACTTATAATCACGTGAAAAAATCTTCCAAATCACTAAAAATTAGAGAAGTGAAAATTGAAGCAACTTTGAGGTTCAACCTCACACTCATCAGATTGTCAAAGTTGACCCCCAAAAAGAACATGACAATTGTTGGAGGAGCCACAAGAAATAGGCCCATTACTGTATAATAAGTGGAGCTGTGAATTGGTCCAGACATTTTGGGAAGCAATTTGGAACTATGTCCAAAAAGTTACTAAGCTATGCATACCTTTGGACTCAGCAATACCACTACTTCCCAAAAAAGATCAAAGAACATTCCTACTTATGTAGGAAAAATATTTTTAGCAGCTATTTGTGTAGTGTCAAAGAACTGTCACTGAACAAATTGTGGTATGTGAATGTAATAGAATACTAGTGTGCTATAAGAAATGATGAAAAGGATCATTTCAGAGAAACCAGAGAAGACTGGTATGGACTGATACAGAGTGAAATGAGAACAACCAGGAAAACAATTTATGAAATAATGACATTATGAGAAAAACTGCTTTGAGAGACTTAAGAACTTTGATCAATGCAATAAGCAAACATGATTCCAGAGGACTGATGATGAAGCATGCTACTCACTTTATGATACAAAACTGACGGACTTTAGGTACAGAACAAGATATATATTTTTGGACATAGCCAATATGGGAATTTGTTTTGTTATGCAAATTTGTTAGAAGAGTTTTGTTTTTATTTCTTTTTTTTTCTAATTTGGCAAGATTGGAGAGAGTTAAAAATGCTTTTCAATTGAAAAATAAAATAAAATACACTAAAAGAAGAAAAGAAATGTCCTCCAATGATGGGCAACTCCTTGGCAGCTTATGATATTGGACAATTATCTGGAGCTCTGAGACACTGAATGGCTTGCCCATGTCATAAAGCGGGACTTGAACCATGTGTGGTCTTTTTGACTTCCAATGCTGTGTCACATTTTCTCTTACTATAGGTAGTAAAATGAATAAAATCAAGATTCTATATTCTTCTTTGCAATTAAATGCCCTGTTTGAGTTAGAAAATGGCCAGAAGGGCTAATAAAAATTTTGGACCATAGAAGTGAAGTGTTTCTCTGATTCTTACATTTAAAGGAACGGGAACTCAGCCAGCTAGAGGAACAAATGAAATAATTGAACAAATATTACAAAATGAACATATGACAAAATTACTCATTTGTTTTGCCTGCCCATCTCCAGTTTTTACTGACATGAAAAATCTTACTATGAATCAAATTTAGATTCAAAATGGTTAAAAATGTTGGAAACCATAAAGGGGGAGATGGAGGAAGGTTAAAATTACTCTGAAGAAGCTGAGATACTCTATTAGAAATGTGCATCAGGAAAAGGAAAGTATTAAATTATTTTAAAATGGTTTTTAGTGTGATTTCAGAAAGTAGTAAGGATGGCTAAGTCTGTCTTTCTGTTTCTCTGAAAGTTAGCAGAGAATTCCCTTTGATTTTCAGGACATTATTTTAGCTTTTTGGATGCAGTTAAACATACCCAGCTTGATCCTATGAATGAGAAGGGAGAAAATTAGCCATTTTGGGCATCCATTAATGTTTTCTTGCTACTGGTTTGCATTGCACTGGAGGAACTAATTTATTCTGATACCATAGTTACTGGTATCTTTGAAAGCTCCTCCCCAAAGGAGCAATTTACTCATTTCTTTCGGGTAGAATCAGGCCCATTATGTCGCAGGGTAATTTCAGATAAGTAGTTTTGTAAATGTCTGGGCTCTGTGCATGTTAAAACTTTAAAGGATGGGGCATATTTTGGAAATCAAATCAATTAATTTTGAAAAGTAAAAACAGCACTTTCATCACATACGGCAATGCATATTGGTCTCTACCCATACAGATCTGAAGACTGGACAGGCTCTTAATTGACTCTATATTTGAAAAGAAAATGTGCTAAAATTGCCATAGATAAAGATTAAAAGAGAAGGAAATGTAATTTTAAGGACAATTTGCTATAATGGTTAGATTTTAAGGAAAGCAGTTTTAAGGGATGTGATTATTTTTCTCCAAGACTTAGATAGTTCTTTTTAGGTGATTTTTTCCCCCAATTATCCACAGTATTTTATATGGCCTCTCCTAAAGATTAATCTGCTTTTTCAAGAAGCCATCCCAGGTCAGACCAGGTGAATTGTAGTTTTGCACTTTGGGGTACCTGGTTGCTCTCATGACTTTTTTAACTTCTGATTTTGAAATGGAAGGCCAGATGCAATTTAATTTTTGTGTCCTCAGGTTTGTAATTTGGTTTGGGAGTATTTTTGTTTGTTTGTTTGTTTTTGTCCTTTACAATCTTTGAATTTACTTTGATAATTTATAGTGATAATTGTAAGAACAGCTCCTGGTTTTTATCCAGTCTTTTAAACCACTGTTTTGTAGTTGGATCTTTGTTTGACCTAATTAGTATTTTGAAACATTTTCACCCACAGATACGTTTGGAAGAAGGACAACATCATCATAAATCCAGCTACAAGTTCTAGAATTGTGGTAGAAAAAGATGGTTCCCTTCTCATTAGTCAGACGTGGTCAGGTGACATTGGTGACTACACCTGCGAGGTTATTTCTGATGGAGGGAATGATTCGAGAATGGCTCGATTGGAAGTGATGTGAGCATTATATCTATTATGCTTTGTTAATTCTTGTCTAATGATATGCATTATTATACACAATGGTTATTTTGAACACTTAGTTATATACTTCCCCCCAACATGTACAATTAATTGCTAAATCTTGCTTTTTCTATCTTCACAACATTTCTTACATCAGACCCCTTCTCTCTCATACAGTTATTAGATTATTTCAACAGCCTCCAAATGAGTCTCCCTACCTCTGCCTCAAGTCTGTCACTACTCCCCCCATCTTATGCACCATTGCCAAGGTTATTTTACTGAAGTGCAAATCTGACTATGTGACACTCTGACTCAATCGCCTTCCATGGCTTCCTGGGATAAGAGACACACAGACTGACTGACAGCAGACCAAAAAGCATTTATTGAGAGCCTGCTATGTGCCAGACACTAGGCTAAACACTGAGAATATAGATGCAAGGAAAAAAGGCAATTCCTGTCCTCAAGGAGCTTACATTCTAAGATGAAGACAACTCATGAGACAAAGCTGGAAGAAAAGGAGGGGGCTGGGGAGGTAAGGGGGAGGCAGTATGTAAAAGTTCAGAAAATCTAAGAGAGAAGTGAGCAGGGATGGCCTGGGGACTTCTTTAAATGGTAGCCCCACATAGGAATTCACTAATTAGAGGAGGGGCCACAGGGATGATGGGCTCTCCAGGGTAAGAAGGTTGCTGGGGGCAGAGGTAGAAAATAAGATAATTAAAAAATATAATCATATTTGTGCACTCACAAACACAAACACACAAACATATACAAATATGTTATTTATACAAATAAATAGAGATACAGAGGTAGAATCCTTCATTTATCTTTTAAAGCTCTCTAACAACCTGGCCCCAACCTATTTTTCCAGCCTCATTGTATATTATATTCTCTGGCCTTCTTGCTATTCATAACCTTCCTATCTTTATCTCCATGACTTTGCATTGAACATCCCAAGTGTCACTAATCAGTAACATTTTGTTGCCATTCGGTCATGTCCAATTCCTTGTGACCCTGAGGACCATAGCACACCAATACTGTCCATGCAGTTTTCTTGGCAAAGATACTGGAGTGGTTTGCCATTTCCTCCTCTAGCAGATTAAAGCAAACAGAGGTTAAGTGACTTGCCCAAAGTTACACAACTAGTGAGTGTCTGAGGCTAGATTTAAATTAAAGTCCTCCTGACTTCAGGCCCAACACTCTATCCACTGAGCCACCCAACTTCCTCTTAATTGATATATAGCCCCCTTACCTCTGCTTCATAGAGTTCCTCTCATGCTTGAAGATGTAGTTCAAATACCCCCTTCTTCATGAATCTTTTTGTGGTCCCCTAGTACTGCCACAAAACTAATACACACATATGTATTATGTGTGTATACACACACACACACACACACACACACACACACACACACACATATATATATATATATAAATAAGACTATATTATATAAATATATACATATAAACTAATATTTATTTCATTCTTTGTATTTATATCTCCAGGTGCTTGTAAAATGCCTGTCACATAGTAGGCACCTAATATGTACTTAATAGATAGATAGATTGATTGATTCATAATGTCCTGGATTAGCATTGATAGTCCGTCAATTGTGCTGAGTATCCATATACTTAACAAAGGGTTCTTAAACAATTTAAAGAAATGTTTGAAAAGTTTCACTATTAGTTTAGTTGACTTGTTTATTGATTATAGATCTATTGATCAATTTCTTCATGTTAGTTCCTCCGCTCCCCTTTTCCTCTCACCATAAGCCTCTACTTCTAGGGCATAAAGCTTAAATACCCAGTACAAACCTTTATTCTTCTGCCATTTATTCATTTATTAGCTTTTTTTAAAAAAACTGTACCCTCCTAGGAATTCCTTCAGGGCACAAGTACAAAATTAAAACATGAAAATAGATGAAGCATAGCATTGCAGCAATTAGGACAGCAGTAAACAAAATTGCATATTATAAACCATCACCTCTCAATTTTTAAATGCCACGCCATTAGGAAAAGCCGTTGTAAAAAGACAAGTCTTACTGGACTGTGCTGGGCCTTGAATCAGAAAGGAATTCCATGCTGAATGATCTTACAATAAAAAGCATCTTCCCTCCTCATTCAAGGTGTCTGTGAGATGTACAAAGATGTTACAGGCATCTTCTAGCTGCTCTCCATCATTCTGATGGTCATAGCAATAGCAACTGTTAACTGACATTTATGTAGAACTTCAAAATTTACGAAGAGCCTTCTTAGTAAGAACTCTGTTGTTGTTCAGTCATTTCTCAGTTGTGTATGACTCTTTGTGACCCCATTTGGAGTTTTCTTGGCAAAGATACTAGAGTATCTTGCCATTTCTCTCTCTAGCTCATTTTACAGATAAGGAAACTGAGGCAAATGGGGTTAAGTGACTTGCCCAGGGTCACACAGCTAGTAAGTATCTGAGGCCAGATTTAAACTCAGAAAGATGAATCTTTCTGACTCCAAACCCAGAACCACTGTGCCATCTAACTGCAGTGACAATCTTAAGAAGTAGGGGATACAAGCCTTTTCATCCCTGTTTTATACATGAGGAAACTAAGGCTCAGAGAAATGAAATAACTTGTCCATCATCATACAACTAGTAAGAGCAATAAGAAGAATTTACATTTCTATGGAACTCCAAAGTTTATAGCATACATATTCCTCTCAGCAACTCTTTGAGAAGTGTTATATGAGTATTAACATCTGCATTTCACAAATAAGTTGTATGGTTTGGGTCCTGATCCAGTGTTCCTGACACTACCATTCTGCCACACCAACTATCTACAGTACTGTTTTTTTTTAATGTATTGTATTGCCTTTTTCAATGATAATGTTAAAGTCTGTCTGTCATTAATAGGGATTCCCAGCTAAATGATCATAAAACCTAGTCTGTCTGCTATGGGGCAACACATGCCTAATCTGTCTCAAATGCTTCCTAAGTGTGTGGCTCTGGGCAAGTTACTTAACTTCATTCTGCCTCAGTTTCCTCATCTGTAAAGTGAGAATAATAATGGCATCTACCACAAAGAGTTGATATGAGAATCAAATGAGATAATATATGTAAGGAGTTTTACAAACCTTAAACATAAAAACATATATGTTAGAGGTGATGTTTTTATTTTTTATTTCTGTTAATTATCTTAAAGCTTTGGAGAAGTAAAAATGCTCTGATGCCCTGGGCCAGAAACTTTTCTCCTTGTTCTCTCCACCAAAGTCTCCACTTGCCACTTTACTCACTAACCGGGAGGTGATGCCCATCCCCTTTAGGGTCACCTCTTTACCAAAAGCAGGAACGTTTTCCTTTCCATTTACTAAAATAATTGACTCCTTTTCTAAACTCTGTTTCACTGTCACTTGTCATTGGCTACTTTCTATTCTTTTGCATTCGCCCAGAGCATACTAATACTTCTCACAGTGGACTACTCTTTTCATAGCTATTACCCTCTCTCCTGTATTTTACTTCCAACTTCTTCTTTAGGAATTTCTCTCCATTATATTAATATCTTGGAGCATAAGCAGTGAGTTTACACAATGTCTTGTGTTATTCATTAAAAAAAAAACTGCCTTGGTACAATCTCAGATCATCTGTCATTGATATCAAGTAAATAAGTGTTAGCATTTCATAAATACTCTGTCAGCAGAAGCAAAATTGCATACTTTCAATGTAATGCATTCTTTTCCTCAGTAATATTTTTATGTTCAACTGATTTACATACCCTCCCTACTATTTGCTTATTCAATTTCTTCTAAGCAAAATGCATTTTTAGTAAATGTTTGTTTCTAAAAAATAGAGACTTTTTATTGCTAAAATACTTCATCTCTAAATATAGAAATATTTACAAATTTGAGATGCTAATCAATTTAGTGGCTACTTAGCTACAAGAGTGATTTGGAAGACAACAGTGACATCATCCCCTTTGATGTGCTACAAGGTTAATAAATCCTCCATGTTCCCAAACACGAATAAAATGAGAAGGCTGAGAACTTCACATGGGTATTTTTTTGGGCCAAATCCAGTTGAAACTATCCTGTATCAGGAATGATAATAATAATAATAGCAATTTTACTGTTCATAGTACTTTCCCATACATTATCTAAGTAATGATTAACATTTCCAAAATCTACTCAAGTATAAAATGCCAAAGTTGTTCAGAAAATAACAAGGAATAAAAATCTCATATTTCAGACCTGAGAAGAACTTACACATAAAATGGTATCCTTCTAAAGTACCTAAAAGATTATTTCCTCTTGCTATCTTTCCTCAGCTTAAATACTTTAATACAGACGTTATTTTACAAAGTAACAAAAGCATCCTTTTTTTTAAAAAGCAGGAAATATGTTGATTTATCATTGTGTTTGTTTTGCCTACATCAAAGATACTAGTAACCGTATTCTCCATTCATGTATGGTGTGAAGAAATGGTTCATCCTTCCTTCTTGGTGTAGGAATTGATGCCATTGTAACTGAATATGTAATGAACCCAGATATTATGAGCTAGTTTGGCCTTGAGGTAAATAATTGTGATAGACGTAGTAACCTGTGAGTCCTTCTGAAGGCACAGAAGTTGGTGAAGCTCTGCAAATGTAAAGGATTTAAGGAACATAGAAGACTGGTGGGGGAGGAGGGTAGTAATAGAGAACATTGAAAGGGACAGAATCTTTGAAGACAAAAAGAAGGAAGAATGAGGTGTTAGTGGTGGTGCGACACTCATGAAGAGTCAAGCCAGTTAGAAGACACACAGGGAGGTTTGAATGTGGGTTTTAGTTTTTTCCATCAACCTAACACTTTAAATGTCACAGAGTTTCTGGAGATGAGATTACCCTCCTCCGCAACACAACAGGGTTTTATTCTTTCCCTTTTACTTGTCCTTCCAAAGGACTGGAAGTGTAGTCAGCTCAGCATGCAGAAGGGTTCAAGGAGGACATAAAAATTTTTTGTTGATATCCTTTCTATCATCTTCATTTCTCAATAAATCT